AGTTAGATCAGGACCTTTGGTGTTGGGTTTTGCAGTGCTGAGGGTGGAACCCAGGGCCTGGAGTGAGTGTGCTCAGTAGCTACTACTGAACTATAACCTGGACCCCTGGGGTTTCTTAAAGTCAGATATGGTAGTGTGTGCCTGTAATCCCAGCTATACAGGAGGTGGAGATAGGAGGATCTTGATCTATGCATGGTCTGGGCAATAAGTGTGAGACTTTCTCTGAAAAAGAAAAAAATAATAAAATAAAAAGAACTAGAGGCATGGCTTGAGTGGTAGAGCCCATGCCTACCAACTGTGAGGTCCTGAGTTCAAATCTCAGTACTGCCAGGAAGAAGAAAGTCACTTTGTGAGCTTCAGTAGTCTCTCTCCTGATCAGTGTGGCTGAGAATCTCACTTAGGCTGCAGACTGAGCTCTGGCTCTGGGACCCTGAGGCGGGAGGGTGTCCTGATTCCCTGCCTCAAGTCAGGCTGAATAGGGTGCGTTTGTGTGTGTGTGTGGGGGGGCTTTGGGTGCAGTCAGCTGGCAGATTGTCACTGGACAGATGTGGTCTGTGATCCAGGCCCCTCTCCTGGCTGTGCGTTCCCAGCTCTGGAGTGGGCGCCTGCCTTCGAGGATTTGTTACAAGTCACTAACAGTAGAGCTGGGCTCAGAGCCCAGCATGCAGCAAATGCTCAGCTGTAACGTCCGCTTGCGTCATGATGGTGAAGCTTGCTTTTGAGACGGTCTCACTATGAATCCTGGACTGGCTTCAAATTCTCGATCCTCCTGCCTCAGTCTCCCAAGTAGCTGGGCTTACAGGTGCATGCAGCTATGCCTGGCTTCTCAGTGGCTCTATGTATAGTTCACACACCGTGAAATTCACCCATTTAAAGTATGTTCACAGGATTGAGCATCCATCAACACAATTAAATTTAGGACATTTTATCCCACACAAGAAACCCAGGACCCATTGCTAGAGGCTCCTCATTCTCGCCCCCCAAACCCTGGCCACAGTCCGTCTGTTTTCTGTCTCTGTGGATTAGGGGGGAAGGTCTGCACCCTTACTTACCATGGAGTCACAATGGCGTGTGGCCTCTGTGACTGGTGTGTGCCTTATTTTTCATCAATCAAGGTATTTTGTAAATCTGTAGAGACTTTCTGTGGTCACACAAACAGGCAGGATGGAGTAGCCATTAAAAAAAAAAAAAGCAAACAAAACGATGTACGCACTTTCTGCTGGACTGATAGAGTTCGAATCCCAGACCCCCTCTTTTAAGGTTAACAACCACACTTGTCAGTTTCCTGGTCCCTCTGAGCCTCGGTTCACTCCTCTGTCACATGGGAAGACTGTGCTCCTCACAGGGTCACGGAAAGGATTGACTAAGAACACGTGTGCCTGAGACACGGTCCCCAGCCAAGATGACTCATTTGGACAATAGAGCAGAGCTCCCAGGCTGGGGTGTAGAGCGCCACAGACAATAAGTCAGGAGAAAAAACCCCAAAAACTTCTTGTGTGGGTTCCTATGGCTCAGAAAATGTAAATGAATCAAAAGCAAAGCAGTCTTTAATCCTAATATTGAGATGAGAATTTTTGCTCCTCATTAGGAGCAGTAATTCTGTGCTCTCTTTATCGCTGAATGCATTTGTGTATATTTTTATATCCCCAGCCCCAATGTCACAAGTGACTGTTTTGAAGCAAGTTTTGATTTCTTTAGTTTATATTATTTTTTATGGCAATATTGGGGGTTAAACCCAGAGCCTCACCCCTGCTCGGCAGGTGCTCTACCATTCGCGCCACTCCGCCAGCCCTTTTATGCACTGGTTATTTTTGAGAAAAGGTCTTGTTTTATGCTGGGGTCAGCCAGAACCTCAGTCCTCCTGGCCTCAAATTGTGATCCTTCAGCTCTCTACCTCCCAAGTAACTAGGATTATAGGCTTGAGTTACTGCACCTGGCGCAAGTTGGTTTTAGACATTGTATTTGGAGTGTATTAACATACCAAATATAATTGTCACTTTATTGTTTTGTTTTGTGATGGCATCTTGCCATGGTGCCCAGGGTGGCCCTGAACTCCTGGGATCCTCCTGTCCCAGTAGCTGGGACTACAGGTGGCTCACAATTGTCACTTTTAAAGGCAGCATCCTTTTTAATTGGCAAAATACACTATGGGTTGCTTGATCCGTCTGCTTTTTATGGGCACTTAGGTTGAGTGCAAATTTTTTTGGGGTGCTGGGACTCAGACTTGGGGCCTTGGACACCAGGAAAGTGCTCTACCACTGAGCTACATCCCCAGCCCTTGGTTTTTTGAGATAGAGTCTCACTGCATAGCCTAGGCTGGCCTGGAACTCTCAGTCCTCCTGTCTTTGCCTCCCGAGTGCTGGGATTACAGGTGTGCACTACCACACCTCGTTGGTTAAATGCAATTTTAAGCTATTCTAGGTTAAGCATCCCCAATCCAAAAGTTCAAAATGCTCCAGAAATCAAAGCTTTTTGAGTGCTGACATGAAGCCGCAAGTCTGATGGTTTACTGTACATAAGCTTTGTTTCACACACAAATTATTAAGAATATTGTATAAAGCCTCCTTCAGACTATGCTGTAAGATGCATATAAACCACAGATGAATTTCATGTTCAGACCTGGTTACACCCCCACCAGATTTAAATGTGATCCTCAAATATCCCAAAATAGGAGAAATACAGAATCCTGAACACTTCTGGTCCCAAGCATTTCATCTAAGGGACGCTCAACCTATTGAAAGCAAAGGGAACACATTTACAAAGTGTACTCATTTTTTTGTGCCTGTAGGATTTTTTTTTTTTCAGGACAAATTCCTGCCCAGTGGAACTACTGACATTTTTGAGTAAGCTTCCTGAGGTGATATAGCACAATAAGAAAAGTGCATGATCCCTAAGTGTGAGTTTTCTGAGAACACACCTGGGTCACCTGTGCCAAGATCAAGACACACAATAGTCCCTCCCATGCCCTATTCAAATGAGTGTTTTCTCCAAGGGTAGCCTCTGTCCTATAGAGGAGTTTTGCCTGAATTTGAACTTTGTGCAAATAGAATCATGATGTGCCTTTGTGTCTGCCTTCTTTTGTTCATTGTTATGTATGTTTGTCCATTTTCATTGCTGTATACTGTTCCATTGTTGGGCCATGTCACTACTCATGCTTTAGCATGTTAGGTGTTCTGTCATTGCTGGCACGTGGCTCATTTCTAGTTTAGGGCGACTTACACAGTGTCACCATGAGCATCCTGGGTATATCCTTGGGTGAGCACAGGTATGCGTTTCTGTTAGTTACATACTGGGTGAGGGGCTCCTGGGCCACCAAGTGTTGACATACCCGTGATCTGGATGACCATGCTTTCCTCCAGAAAGGCAGACATTATCTCCAGTGGTCACCTAGTCTTTCCAAGTGTCAGTGTGTCCTTACACAACACAGGGACCCAGCCCCCTCCTGGGTGTCATGTGGAAAGATGAGCTAATGCCTGGAGCAGCGCCCAGCCCAGGTTTGCAAGTCTCTCCTGGCAAGCAGCGCCACCAGGGATGCTTGAGGATTCAGAGCTGTAGATTCTTGAAGAGCCCAAGGCAGAAAACACTGAGCAGGATGGGCGGCGACAGCTGACCCCAGGACTGTGCCACTGCCCTAATGGGTGAGAGGCGATAAGGGGCTTTGGGTGGGGGTGCCAAGAGGAGTGTGAAGGGTGCAGGTGCCCAGCCCATGCCCTGCTTTGGACAGCTGTGTCTACGTTGGACGTGGTCCCCAGGAGCCAGTCCTGCTGGCTTTGAGCCCTGAGTGACATAGCAGTGGGGAAGGCAGATAAGGAGTTGAGTCCCAGCCCACTACTCACCAGTTGTCTGGGCTTCCTCGCTCTCTGAGCTGCAGTTCTCAAAGGATGAAATCAAAGATAATGGTAGCTCTTCCCTCAGCAGATTGTATGGCAGACAAAGTGAGAAATGCATTTAGGTGACATGGCACGTTCATAAGATGAGCCCTCAGTATGTGAGTACATCTTTACAAAGCCTGACACCCAGAGGGTCTAATCTCAGAAGGAGCTCTGCAGACCAAACCTGACCCAAGAGAGGCAATAATGATGATAAATAGAAGTGTGTAGGTGAATGGAATCCGAATATATCATCCACAGCAACCATCAAAACTCTATCCTTAGGCCAGGTGCCGTGGCTCACATCTATAATCCCAGATACAGGTAGAGCTCTGGAGGATCTTGGTCTGAGGCCAGCCTGGGCAAAAATGGAGTGAGACCCCATCTCAACCAATAAGCCAGACATGTTGGTACGTGCCTGTCATCCCAGCTACACAAGAAGTGCAGGGAGGAGGATTCAGGTCAGGCCAGCCCAAGGCAAGAACACAAGACCCTATCTAAAAAATAAAAAGGGCTGGCTTGGGGGTTTGGCCCAAGTGGTAGAGTGCCTACCTGGCGAGTGCAACGCCCTGAGGTCAAACTCCAGGACTACCAAAACAAACAACAAAACCCCTTTTTCCTTTTCCTTCCAGTCCTGTTGCCCTTCCTCCCCTAGATGCTCTGTACGTTTCTCCAGCACTCCCGACGCTGGCCTTTTCCCCTTCCTGACTCATCTCTCTTGACCTGGGACTGCACCAAGCCCCCTTCTCAGCTAGGAAAAACCCCATGATCCGAAGTGGGAGAGGAGGTTGGCTAACAAGCACGCACACATTCCTGTTTCTTGGCTGGGGAAGGATGGAGCATGGGAGAATGGCCTGGGTGACATCTGCCATGTCCCAGGAGCCATTGTTGGTGACAGCTGTGTTCCTCCTGAGGGAGGAGGTCTGACGACCCCAGCACTGCGTTACCAGGCAGATGGGGGTACCTTTCCTTGCTTCCTCGCCCATCACACAGTTTGGCCATGTCGTGAGAGTGGCCAGCCTGCGGGTGAGCGGGCAGGAGTGTCTGCAGCCTCCTCTGTGCACTCCACGTTCAATGTCAGTAATTTGTCTCTTGTTTTCCTTTCTTTCCCCTCCTCCTCCTCCTCCTCAGTCTCCTCGGACCAGATCGAGCAGCTGCACCGGCGGTTCAAGCAGCTGAGTGGAGACCAGCCCACCATTCGGTAAGACTGCAGCCAGGCCTGGCACCGTCTCTTTCCCTGACTGCTGAGTAGCTCTGGAAGAGCCCCTGGGGTGCCCCAGTTTCTGAAGCAGACCTTGAGCTGTTTTAATTCTTCTGGTCCCTTCTAAGATAAGCTGTTCCCTGGTGGGAGGAAGTAATCCATGTCTGTTCCCGTTGGGATCAGAAAATGATCAGCAGAGAGGTGACAAGGGGAGGGGAGAATCTCTAGCCACCTGTTGTTTCTGTCTGACTTCTTCAGGTGGCAGGTGCTCCACCTCTCACAAAGACGTTGGGTGCATTGCTGGAAGCACAAAGCCAAGGCAGTGTCGTTGTCCCAAGGGCCCCTGTCTCTTGATTCTGTGTCCTCTGGTTAGTGCCAGCCCTGGGCAAGGTGAGGCTGGTGACAGCCTTCAGTTTTGTCATGGGAACTTGAGGTTCTCCGTTCTGTTTTAAACATTAATTGCAAGAGGCTTTCTTATGAGACCACCTTGAACTATGTTTGGTCTTAGATTCTGGTGGAGTTGTTTAGAACTAGGTTAGTGATGGGTCCTTGTCATCAACTTGATTGTCTCAACGTGGAGTTCAGAGTTTACAATGCAGAATGATCAGATTTCACCATCAACTTCCTAACACGTGCAGTGGCCTTAAATGAGCACTCAGGGTCTCAAGGTGACAGACTGTGCAGGAAACCCTTCTCTTCCTCCTTAGTAGACAGACTTACGTTCTCTTCCCTTTTATGGAAACAGATGTGAGTATCCACTTTCTCTCACCTGGCTACTCAAAGGCCATCTAGTACGTGTTCATCTAGCACATGGTGATCTCAAGGCGTCAGTTTCAATGGCCAGATTCTGAGGTTCTCACGGTGGCCTGTTACCGGTTGAACTTACCCAATGCAGAATTAAAGGTAATCGGGACCTGCACCTTCGGTGCTGCCTGTCCCGCCTGCTAAGCGCAATGGAGGAGAGCCTGAGCCCCTTGTGAATTACCCGCCTTCTCATTGGCTCTGATGGGAGTAACATGCCCAAGTCTGAGCCAATCATCATGGCCAGAGCCCAGAAATGCAAATGAGGTTTTTTCCCCCAGTGCTTGTAAGGGAATGGAGCCTGGGGTCAGATCCAACCTTGGCTGGGGAAAGCCTTTAGGTTCACATTCCACCTGTGTTCAGTTCTTCAGACTTGGGGACACAGAGGAAAACTCCCACACTTGGGAGGCAAGTTGTTGTCGTGTGGCTTTGGGCCAGTCACGTTGTTTCTAGGAGCCTGTCTTCTCCTGGGTCGTTTGGGTTTGATTTGTGTATTAAAGACCAGGACATACATGCAGGGTGCTTTAGCTCTGAGTCGGGTTCCTAAGCTTTTGGCAAATGGAGTGGGTCAAACCCGTCACCCTGAGATGCCTGAGCACTGGCTGTCTGGTCCTGGGTGCTGCAGGAGGCTCCCCCACCTCTGTGATGGAGCGTCTGTATTCTGTATTGTCGCAGCCTGCTTGTAACGTCACGGCAGCACTGCAAAAGTCTCAGACTTTAAAACAGCATTTCAGATTCTGGAGTTTTTGCATTAAGGATGATCCACCTGTGAAAACACCTCTCTCAGGGTTTATGTGATCCTGGTAGAGGTTAGCTGGGCTCTGGCACAGAGGACCTGTCACAGGTATAAGTCCCCATCACTTGCGCTGTTCTGTGTGCTTCTCGGTGGGGACGTGTTCCCTCAGTCCTGTGAAATCCTATAGGAAGCAGTGGTAGGAGCCCCTCTGTCCCTTTGATGATGTGGAAATAAGGCACAGAGAGACCATATGGGGATCCTGCGCCACACAGCTCATAAGCAGAAAAGCTGGGACTTGAACCCGGTGCTGAGATCCTGCTGTAAGGAAGCTGTGGGCGTTGCCTTGACTTTTGAGTCGGCCTCTCTGGTCTGCCATTAGGTGGAGGGAGGTACGTTTATAATTATAATTACAGCGCCCCAGAGCCCCTGAGTCCGCTGTGCTGGTGATAGCTCTGGCCCAGCTGCAGGAAGCTGGTGGCTGACTATAGTGACTTATGCAAACACGCCTGCAGGAAGGGCCTCCTCTCCGCCCCCCCAGAACCACTTTGCTTAACCCTAATCCACCCTCTGGGACCTGGAGAAGGGCTACCAGGCACTCTGCCATGGGTCCCCTCGCTTTCCTGCCTGTCCTTCCCTGCATGGCCTTGGGCTGGCATCTGGCAACACTGTCCTGTCTCCACTCTGCCAGGGGATCCTGAGTGACCTCAGACAGGACCTTCAACCTCTTTGATCCCTGGCCCATCTGGGATGGGATCCAGGAGGCTCTGGGCCATGCTGGGGCTTCCTAGCATGAAATGGTTCATATTTTTAGGGTTTAGAGGCTTCTGTGAAAGCTGGCCAGATCTGAGGACCATCTATTCATAACAAAGGCATGGCTGGTGTCCCGAATCGAGGCCCCAGCACCCCAGTTCAGCCTGTGATGGGTGTGGGGTGCAGTTCCCCATGCCTCTTCTCAGAGGGTGAAAGTACCTATGAGCTTATTAGGACCAAGGAAGAGGGCCTAGGCCCCTTAAAAGTGATCACCCAGCTGGGTGTGGTGGTACACGCCTATAATCCCAGCACTTGGGAGGCAGAGGCAGGTGGATCACTAGGTCAAGGCCAGCCTGGACTACATAATAAGACAAAAAGCCAAACAAAGAACAACAAGAAAACAGGTGACCATCCAGACAGCTGGGATTATACACAGACTAATTAGTAAAACGTGTATGTCACGTGAGAAGCTTAAGGAAGAGTTTCTAAATTTTTAACTTTAATAAATTGAATATAACCCTCAAAAAAAATCCCACAAGGGTTAAAAACCACCAAAAGTTCACGTTGATTTTAACCCGTCGTTTCCCCCCTCTCTGGAATTCATCTCAGAAGGTTGGGGCGGGTTTTCCCTGAGGTCCTGAACAGCCTCACATCAGGGCCTCACTTTTGTATGGGCTCTTTACAAGGCCCAGTACCTGGGTTTTTAAAATCTGTAATGTGATTCTGTTCTTTATGAGGGCCTTGCCAAATTGTTCATGCTTTGAGATCTTCAAAACCCAAGTCCAGGCTGCGTGTGATCATGCACAACTGTAATGCAGCTGCTTGGGAGGCGGAGGTAGGAGGCACTCAGTGCAAGGCTGGCTTGGGTAAAGTTCAGCAGGTCCTATCTGAAAAAAATCCCTGAAGCAAAAAAGAGCTGGGGATGTGGCTCAAATGGTAGAGCACCTGCCTAGCAAGTTTTAAGGCTCTGAGTTCAAATTCTAGTACCAGCAAAACCAAAAACCAAAAACCTGAGTCCACCCTCATCAAAAGCAGTGAGTTCTGTAGCCTGCTGGTAAAACACTTGTAGGGAAAAACATCCCTGTCCCCTCTGGCGGGGCCTCTGCGTGCAAGCCAGTTAGCAGCTCATGGTCACAGAGGGGAAGAAAAGCTAGCGAGGGTGACCTGGGTTCTTCCCCTCTCTGGTTGGGCAACTTGTAACTTCCTGATAGCACTGTGGCAGGCCTGGAGACACCCCGAAACAGACACTGGGGAGTCTTAGGAGTGAGGCAGGCCCTTGGGAGGACTGGCCGGGTGGAGTCGCGTGTCACAGAAATAGTTTAGCCAGAATGTGCAGTGGGTCCTGCGATAAGGTGACATGGGGAGGGCGCGTGACTGCTCCTGGTTGAGCTCCAAGTGCAAGGCTGCGGTCATGGGCAGACAGACCATCCGTGAAATGTCCATCTCATTTCCTTCGTGGTTTTCCTGGGTCATCAGCAGCCCTCAGGATTGTGTTGTCCCCACGGAAGTTAGAGGAGGTCACACTCATGAGAGATGTCCCAGCCGTCAGAAGCTGAGTGCTAATGAGTGTTAGAGCCCAGGGCTGCCCGCATGGTCTCGGGGTTCACACCTTCACCCCCATTCTCCAGACGAAGACACTGAGGCCACAGAGGTTAAGATCAACGAGCCAAGGTCCCAAATGGTCCAGAATTAGTGCTTTGCTTCTAACCTGTGGGGATGGCGATTCTGGTAGAGAAGCCAAGGCTTCTTGGTGCCCAGGGCCTTCATGGGAGGTTCTGGCACAGAGGACCCCGGTGGTGAGAAGAGACTCCAGTCTGTCATGGGTGACATGGGGCAGCAAAAAACTAGCGTGTAGCAAGCTTGTCAGGTAGTGAGTGCTGCGTGGTGAATGCGGGAGCTGGGTGCAGGAGCCACCAGGCTGACAGAAGAGGCCACCTAGCTCCAGCCCGGTTGGTGTCTTCTCTGTCCCTTGTGACCTGGACACTTGTCCTGCCCTCTCTGGGGTTCCAGGTGGGGTCTTTTGGGCTGAGAAATGGCAGGAGTGGATGCCTCATGAAGGACATATTTCATTTTCTCTCTTTCTCTCTCTTGCTGGCTCTCTCTCTCTCTCTCTCTCACACACACACACACACACACACACACACACACACACACACCCTGAAGGAACTGGTAAGGACAGGATATGCCTAAGATGATCCTAGCTTTGCTAGCTGTGTGACTGTGGCTTAGTCACTTTGCCTCTCTGGGCCTCTTGTTCTTGCCTATAAACTTGGGACCATCATTGTTGACACTCTGATGTGATTAAGCCTCACAGTGAACAGCCCAGCCTGGCATGGTGAGAGCACTTCAGGACCAGAGGGGGACATTTTAAGATCCCCGAGGGCTTAAGCTGTCCTGGAGGAAGTGTGGAAGGTGCTGTGTGATCCCCACTCTGATGGTCCCTGGGGCAGCACACCAGTGGTTCAACACTGGTCACTTGAATCAACAGTGATCTGAGGACAGTGATCTGCTGTCATCCCAGGCTGAGCCCATCCTGTCCAACCGGCTCAGTGGGAACCTGGAGCAGGTGTGGGGGGGAAGGGGGGGAGGAAGCGACCGAAACCAGTGTTGATGGGGCTTAGCCCAGGCTCTGGGCTCCAGGTCTGCCCTCCTTATTGGAAAGGGAGTCTGGCAGGGGCAGAGGCCAGAGTGTCCCTAAGAGCCAGCCAGACCTCCCTCCTGGGAGTGGCTGCTCCTGGGCCAGGGGGTGTCCACATCATATTCTGAACCCTCAGTCTCATCCTTAGTTTCTGCCTCAGTTTTCTCATCTTTAAAATGGAGATAAGAGCCCCCTTTGCAGGGCTGTTGTCATGCACTTCAGAGTCACATAAAGCTTGGGACAGCCCCGTCCAGCTCTGTAGTGCATGGCGGATTGGCCACTGCTATTTCTGTTGTCAGTGCCACAGGCTATGTTGGTGTCACTGTTACTACTTCTGCTGTTGCTGTAATGTTCGAGTGTGCCAGGCACCTTACGTGGGTTGTGTCATTTAATAACTCATTAATCCCCAGGATTGCCATGACCCCCACTTTTCAGATGAGAAATCTCAGGTGTGCGGTGGCCCATGCAGGTGGGCAGAGCCTGCATTGACTCCCGCCACCTCCATGAGCTCTACCCCTGCACCACCCCGTTTGCGGGAAAGGGTTAGGTCTGTGCCCACCTCCTGGTGAGGAAACTGAGGCTTTGAGTGGAGCCCATGGTGGTTGGAGGTGAGCATGGGCCCAGCAGGTGCCGGTGGGGAGGCAGAGGCAGTGAACTTTGAGGACCTCTGCACAGACCCCTTGGGGGGCCACAGAGCCGGGGCTGGGGTGCGTGTCCCCTGCAGGCCCAGCTTCTGTCTCCTCACTGCGCTGCTCAGTCCGGTCTGTGGTGGTTTCTGCTTCCTGGGTCAGTCCAGGCCGAAGGGTTTGGACAGCTGAGCACCGGGGAGGGAGGGAACCTGGCTTAGTACAAACGAAAGGATGGAGGAGTGAGGCCATGCCCATCACCCCTTTCTTTACACTCAGATGTTCGCTCAGCAAACCAAGCATGTTTGCCATGCCCAGTTGTGCAAGGCATTGAGGACAGGGTCCCTGTCCCCATTTGCTCAGTGCTACAGCCTGAGGACCACATCCACAGACTGAATTTGTCTGACCTGAGCTGACGCCACCCTGTGGGACTCCTGTATCCAGAGATGCAGACTGAGGCTCAGAGAGGCCAAACCACTTGTCCTGGGCAGCAGAGCAGGGCAGACCCAAGGCTGATTCCAGAGCCTTCCCTTCACCTTGCAACAAGCATTGGTGCGGCCCCCTCACAGATGGAAAACTGAGGCTGAGGAAGGGTTCGTCACAGCCAAGAACCTGTGCCGGTGAAAGCCAGAGAGGGCTGAGTCACATGCTAGCAATGACCCCTGCGGCTCCCACCTGCTTTTCTGTTCTCCCCAGACTCCCCCTCCAGCTTCACAAGGTCCCTTTCTTGCGGGAAACGGGTCCCATTCAGTAAAGAACATGACCATCCAGTATGAGCATGGCTTCTCCCTGCTGGCGATCCTGTCTGACACCCTGTGCCCCAGCTGGGTGATCCTGGGCAGGTGGTGAAACCTCTCTGTGTTGCACCTGCTACACTGGTTCATTGGAGCCTGGTCAGGTTCCACACAGGGAAAGGAGAAAGTGTAGGCTGAACCACTTGCACAGGAAATATGGCCTGCAGCCGTTTATTGTCATCCGATTGTGATTTTATAGAAGGTGACCGTCTCCCCTGGTAACCTTGACTCGTTCTACCCAAAGGCGCTAGTCTCTCTGTTCCCTTTCCTCCTATGGTTGCCAGTGATGGGGGTGGGGACGTGGGGGATGGGACAGAGCCTGTCCTAGTCTGAACAGCACGGGTGTCCAAGACTGGAGGAACTTCCACAGAGGGGACCCTCCAGCCTGGATGTCCCTTGTGCCCCCTCCTGGCCGCCACCCCCTTGGGCGATTAACCATTAGCCTGGCTTCCAGCTGTGAGGTTCTTGGGGACACTTTTTCCTCTGTGTAAATGGAGTCACAGTTGCAGGGGTTCCATTTTTAGCTGCTTTGTGGAGCTCCAATTCACATATTACTCAGTTCTCCCACCTAAAGTGTGCGATCAATGGATTTTCTCAGCATAAATTGGCTGTACGGGGCATCACTGTGAGATTTACACACGCACGTGTGTGTCAAATTCACCCTGTCTGTATTATTCTCTCCTAACTCACCTCCTCTTTAGCAGCGTGTAGTGAGGATCCTCGTGCTGTTTTCATAACAGACTTTGATCCTGGTCACCGCCATCATCTCCTTTCCCCCTCCTGTTGGTCCCCCCAAACAGCCTCCCTTTCACAAGCATTTAGACCAACGCAGAAAGAAACCCTGTCCTCAGCTGCCATGGCCTGTCACCTGGCCCTGGAAACCGGGGCTCCTCTTAGCACCCCTGTGGATTTGTCATTTTCCTATGCCTTCCACAAAAGGAGTCACGGGATACGCGGGCTTGTGCATGTGGCTTCTATCACTTTGTGCGACGTTTTTGACTTTTGATGTTTCCCTCATTGTTTTGTTTTCTTTTGAGGTGGGATCTCGCTATGTTGCCCCAGTGGGTCTCGAACTCCTGGGCTCAAGCCATCTCCTGCTTTAAACTCCGAGTAGCTGGGCTGACAGGGCACACCCCACTGCACCTGGCTTACTTCATTCCTTTTTGTGGCTTAAAAAAATCCGCTATGATGCATGGCCGAATAACATCCCATCGCCCTGGCCAATTGTCCCGAGTGAGCCTCCTTCCTCCAGAGTGGGCTCTTGTGAATCTAAAATGTGGCTGGGGCCAGGAGCTGGTGGCTCACGCCTGTAATCCTGGCTACTCAGGAGGCAGAGATCAGGAGAATCGTGGCTCAAAGCCAGCTTGGCTAAATAGTTCATGAGACCCTGTCTCAAAAAAACCCATCACAAAAAAAAGGGCTGGTGGAGTGCCTCAAGGTGTAGACCCCGAGTTCAAACCCCAGTGATGGGAAAAAAAATTAAAAATGGCTGTGTACAGACATCAGCTCATCAATTGGCCAGATGCCACCAGCAAGCTGAACCACGAGGGAGGGTTTTGGGGCAGGAAGCCGCTGGGGGTGAAAGGAACAGGAGGGGTCCAGTCACTAGGCCAGTCCTTTTGCCCCTGCCCTGAGGCGAGGGAGGACGGGGACATGGGTGTGTTTGTGGAGCCTCCCAAGGCAAACAGTGCTGTCTCCTCCCCTCCACTGTCCGTCTCTTGTAATTTTGAGTCCTGATTTGGTGATCGCCACTGTCATTTTACCCTTGGACACCTTTGTTTGAAGGCAGTCACCCCTGTCTCCTCCCCACCTCGTGAGCCCTTTCCTCTTGAGGTTACCAAACTGAGCCCACGGCTGGCCACGTTTAATGAATGACTTACCGAAGTAAAATTGTACCAAACGGCTCGGTCCTCAGAATATATGATTCAGTGACTTTGTATGTGCACAGACTTGTGCATCCAGCACCACAAAGGCTTTTCAGAACATTTTAATCACCCAAACAAAGCCCCAGCCCCTAAGCCATACTCCATGCCCTCCCTCGCCCAGCCTCCCAACAGCCACTCTTCTGCTTCCTGTCTCACGAATTGGCCTGTTCTGGACACTTTATTTCAGCAGACTCGTGGAAGGTGACCATTTTTATCTGGCTTCATTCAGGCAGCAGTACCCCGACTTCAAGATTCATCCATATGTCAGCCTGTGTTGGTTCTTCATTCCTTTTCATGACTGCGTGATACTCCATTGTGTGGACAGACCCCTGTTTGGCTGTCTGTCAGTTGGCACACATTCGGGTTGTTCCTATTTGGTGGCTGTCGGGAGCAATGAGCCATGAAGGGTCATGAGCAGGCATTCCCTTCTCTCAGGCAGGTGTCCAGGAGTGGCATTGGGTCATAAGACAGCCCTACATCGAATCTTTCGAGGACCTCCCAGACCATTTTCTGAAGCTCCAAGCCGGCGTCCTACTGCTGGGGGCCCAGGGTAGCCAAAGCAGGGTTCCCCGATCTGGGGTCTGACCCTGCCCCCTCCCCAAATCCCATGTCTGCCTTTTTCTGGTGATGAATTACAACCCATCGCTCAGACTCTCCAGAGGGTCGCGAGTCCCCAGATCCTGCCTGCTCCCATCCAGTCCGAAGGCGAAAGCAGGGGACACATAAACGAGGCAACTCGGCCCATCTCGACGCTGAGCTATTCTCGAGTTAGAAGAAATAAGCTTGATGTGTGACAAAGGTGTCAGCTGACGTCTCTCTCGCTTTGCCCTGTGCTCCTCCTTTTGGAAACCAGCAAGGAGAACTTCAACAACATCCCGGACCTGGAGCTCAACCCGATCCGATCCAAAATCGTCCGTGCATTCTTCGACAACAGGTGAGCGCCTTCCCCGAGTGACCTTGTCATGAGGCCATGCCAGGTTTGAGGTCCGAACGTTCTGCATTCGCAGCTGGGTGACCTTGGTCAGCTCACGGGGCCCTCTAGGCTTGGAGTGTTAGTCAGCTCAGGCTGTGTAACAAATGGCCCGGAATGTAGCAGGGTGTTTTTGTTTTGTTTTGGGGGGATCAAACTCAGGGCTTCAGGCATGCTCTCTGCCTCTGAGCTATCTTACCATCTATCATTGGGGTCAGGAATCAGGGTGCAAGTTACTGGGGTCTGGGGCTCAAGGTCTCTCCAAGCTTTAGCCAACACATCAGCTGGGGCTGAGGGTTCCCCTCAAGCTCCTCGACAGCAGGAGGCCCCACTGTCACTGTGGCTTGGATGTGACATGTCCTCCAAAAGGCTCATGGGTTGAAGGTTGGACCCCACCTGGGGGTGCTATAGAGAGGCGATCGGCTCCTGAGAGAGCTCTCCTAATTAATAGAGTGACTTATTGATGGTGCTTTTGGGAGGTGGTAGAAACCAGGAGGTGGGGCCTGGTTGGAGGAATTCGTCACTGGAGTCATCTTTTGAAGGGTCTATCTTGTCCCTGTTCCCCCCTCCTCCGATCTCTCTGCTTCCTGACTGCTGTGACACAAACAGCTTTTTTTTTTTTTTTGGTGGTACTGGGGTTTGAACTCAGGGCCTCAACACGTGCTCAGCAGGTGCTCTACCAGTTGAGTCGCTCCATCGGCCCAAGCGGCTTTCTTGATGTTTCTGCCTCATCCTCATCACAGTGGAGCCGGCTAGCCACGGACTGAAACCTCTGAAACCATGATTCCAAGCAAACCTTCCCCCCTTAAAGTTGTCTGTGGCAGACATTTTGCCACAGCCGCTAAGCTCATTCTTTTGGCTGGTGGCTGGTGGCATCTCATGGGCCTCTCCACAGGGCGGCTGCTCCCTCCCTCAGAGTGAAGCCCCCACATTTTTGTAACCTGATCTCAGAAGAGACCCGCCATGACTTGTGTATGTCTATAGAGATAAGCCACTGGCCACCCCACACCTGAAGAGGGGACAGCCAGGGCCATGAGGACTATCAGAGGCCATCGTGGAGGCTGCCTCAGTTTCCTCATCTAGAAACATAACAATAGCACCCCTTCTGGGGCCCGCCATGAGGACGCTGGTACAGCGTGGCCACATTCGGGGCCCTGGTTTAGGGGAGGGCAAGTGCCTTGGCCAGAAGCCCTCAGGGTTGAAAGAGAACATGGACCCTGGTGTCCAAAGGTGTGTGCATGGATCTGGTCACTCTAGGCTGCCAGGGCGAGAGACGAGCACTCTAGGCCAGCCAGCCTGTTCACCCCAATGTCCTCGCATTCACAGAGCTCACAGAGAAGCAGGGGGACGGGCAGAAAAGGGAAGGAAGGGGACGCAGTGCGTTGTGAAAAGGCTGGTAGGATTCCCTGGTGGGTTTGAATTGCGGGAACCCATTCCATCCAGCTCTGGTTCTGCTGGGGCTGTGCCTCACCAGGGACTGCGACTGCCACAGACCCCCCTGGGAGATGCCTTCTTCTGGGTTCTGTGGGGCAAGGCCGAGGCAGAAGTGACTGAGAGTCAAGCAGGCAAAGCAGGGAAAGAAAGATGCTCCCGGCAACTGGAATCGCATGTGCAAAGGCCCTGTGGTGCTCAGGAAGTGAGGTGTCGGACAGGAAGCCAGCTGGAGCATAGACTGGCTGGGCATGATGAGCCGTGGGAGGACAGGGCCACACTGTGCAGGGCCTGTGGACCAGCAAGAGGGTCTCTCTGTCACCCTAGGAGCAGAGATGGGGGCACTGATGGATGTTAAGGTGAGACATTGGGGTAAACAGTTTGCACTTTACACGGGTTGCTCTGGCTGCCTGAGTTGTGGGGATGGAAACGGGGTGGGGGAGGCAGAGGCCAGAGATGGGGTGTCTTGCATTTGTGTAGATGAGGGCCAGTGGTTGTCTGTGAGCCACAGGAAGGAGGAGTGGCTGGACCTGGGGTGCAGATCTGACTGGTGGTGAACTTGGCTCTGTCATGGGGAACCCATCCTCTGTGAAGGAGGTTGGAAGAGAGCTGAGGTCTCTGGGCAGCAGTGGGGAAACTGAGGCAGTACAAACCTGACCCAGGTCACTTGGCTCTCAGCTGTCCCCTGTGGGAATTCAGATTCCATCTTGGGTCTGTCTGTCTTGATTCTGGGTAGATCTAGGACCTGTGTTTTCAGCTGTCAGGATGGAGGTCAGGGCTGCTGGGCTGGTCTGTGAGTTGCCACCCTTGTTGAGGGGACAGGGTATGTGCAGGGCTGACCCCTCCCCCTGGTCAGAAGCCAGGGACAATGAGTTGGAGCAGCTTCCTCGATCACATGGTCTGAAGTTAGGAAGAGTGGCTGAGAACTGGCACAGGTGCCCTGCTTCCTGAACACTGGTGGCCAGGGCCAGCTGTGGTGGCTCGCGTCTGTCATCAGCTACTCGGGAGGCAGAGGTAGGAGGATCGCCATCTAGACAAAAGCATGAGATTCCGTCCAGAAACAACTAAAGCGAGAAGGGCTGGGCCTGGCTCAAGCGGTAGAGCACCTGCTTAGCAAGTGTGAGGTCCTGAGTTCAAATCCCAGTATCACAAAATAAAATAGCTGTATCTGAAAAGGACACCAAGTAGGGACCAGCTGTCTGGGACCCTGAGGAGGGAAGTGAGGTGGGAAGGGGTGCTGCATGCTGGGCTCAGGTGGGAGGTGGGGGTCACTGAGAGAGCCGGGTGACCTCAGGGTGTTTAGCAGATGAGTGAGAAAGCCTGTCCTGGCTTGTGGACATGTGAAGTGTGACTAGGAGAAAGAGTGGAGGGGGCGGGAGGACTAGATCTGGGGGGGACAGAGGGTGGGGCAGGGAGCCGAGGGGACTCCCAGGCCTGGCGCTGACGGTAGAGACTTCCAGGATGTCTGGGCTACTCACTGTCACTGTACTGAAATCGCAAACCGCTGACCGAGCGCTTTTTCTGGAAGAGCTGCACCAGCCCCGGTCTCCTTGCAATTCCCCCACCCTCGAGGGGGAGTGGCGGATGGTGCGGCTGTGTTCCAATGACGTTTTATTTATAGACCCTGGAGTTTGAATTTCATGTCATGAAATCGTATTTCAGTTTTCTTACAGTATTTTTTTTTTCAACCACTTAGAAAGCTCTCTCGGTCCACGGGCTATCCCAGTGGGCCAAGATGAAAGCAAGGACCCTAGGCCTCAGTTTCCTCAAATGCTAGGGCCCACTGTGTGTTCTGTGACCCACCCTGGCATCCCTCCCTCCAGCCCTCATCAACAGAGTCACTGTCTCCCCGACTCCCCCATGGGAGCTCCAAGGGTGGGCAGGGCCTCTGCTCCTGCACCCCCGGGGGCCCCTAGGAAGCAGGTTCTTAGGATGCAGAACCCAGGTGAGACTGGCCACCACGAGGCAAGCGTGTGCCCAGAAGGCCTGAGTTCTCCTGGGCTGTTGGTAGCAGGACAATATGGTCCAGGGTACAGCTGACAGCGCCCCCTTGTCCCCTACAGGAATCTGCGCAAGGGGCCCAGTGGCCTGGCTGATGAGATCAACTTTGAGGACTTCCTTACCATCATGGCCTACTTCCGGCCCATCGATACCACCCTGGGCGAGGAGCAGGTGGAGCTGTCTCGAAAAGACAAGCTGAGATGTGTGTGTCCGAGTCTGGCCCCAACCAAGCTCCCTGGGTCCTCAGAATGGGGGTACCCTGCAGCAGGGGGCTGGACTGTGGGGGAAAGGAACAGGGGGTCAGGGAGGTAGCTGGTGTCCTGTGCCAACAGTTGCTAAAAGGGTGCCCACCTGTTGTACCTTGGTGGCCTCACACTGAACAATCCAATAGTTTGTGGCTTTCTCGGATGAGAGGGGGTCACCTGGGTTTCAATTCAGGCCTCCACTTGGGGACCATGGGGCCTTAGGCCTTGAACTGACATGGATGTGCTGGTTGTGAACAAGTGTGTGAGAGGTTGGAAGGATTTGGTCACACGGAGCCCCTAGTGCAGGGAGGTGCTGCCTCAGTTTAGGTCTTCCTCTCGCCTGTCCACGCCCACCACGCCTCTGTCCCAAAGTCCCCACTGTCCCCCGGCTCTGAATTGTGTTTAGTCGCCATCCTGGCAGGCCGGCAGCATGCAGTTGCCTGAGTCACGTCTCCTTTCCCTGCGGCCTTTCCCATGACTCCCGACATTCCCTCTGCCCCACCCCGGTCTCAGCCTCATCACTAGAAAAACATCGGCGGGGCTTGGCCCCATTTAGCTCTGGAATATGTGTATGGTGCTGGTAGGAAGCCACTGTGCTGGCCTCCTATGTCCCTCTGACCAGGCGGGTACTTGGTGTCTCCCAGTGTCCCCTTTGCTCTGAGGGCTGTGGGGCCCGTGGAATCAGACAGACAGATGGATAGAGGGCCAAATCTGTGTTCCTGTCCCTTAGCTGGGTGGCTGCGGGCAGTGCCTCAATAGCTAGTCCGTGAAGTGGAGCTGGAGCAGCCCTGACCTGCTGGGGTCAGGGTAGGAGGAGAAGGTGATTGGGAAGTGCCTTGCACACTGGGGCTGGCAGTGAGCAGCCTCTCAGTGTGTCACCTCTGCTGGGCTTTGAGCCACAGGGATCAGGAACAGGGAAGTAGCCAGAGTCACCAGCGCCCTGCTACCCTTGGGGGTCACCTAGGGCCAGCCAGGGACCAGGATGTGGGAGGCGTTTTGATAACACCCATTCGGCTTCCTGTTAGATTTTCTGCTCTGTCACCCACGCTCACAGTGCACTGGGGACTGGGGCCTGACCGTCAGCTCTAGCTCACCAGCCCCTTGGAGGACTTGAGGTAGACCCTCAGCCCATTGCACAGATGGGCTCAGAGCTGCCAGTCACCTAGTGACCTAGTGGAGTCAAGCGAGGTGCTCAGTCAGACCCCAGGGCCTCTGCTTTTGACCCCCAGGGCTTTTGTATTGAGGTGTTGTCACTGATGGCTTGCTGACAGTGTGGCGTGAACTCCTAAGCCAGGAAGCCTGACTTGGGCATCCCAGCTCCAAGGCTTGTCTGAGCCGTCTCTCTCGCCATTCCCCAGTTCTGTTTCACATGTACGACTCAGACAGCGACGGTCGCATCACCCTGGAAGAGTATCGAAATGTAAAGTATGCTCTCCTGCCCACCCTGCCACCTCCCTTGCCCTCTGACCTTGCTGGGGGCCCGAGGTCACCATGCTTCTGCTCTGCCTGGCAGGTGGTGGAGGAATTGCTCTCAGGAAACCCCCACATCGAGAAGGAGTCAGCCCGATCCATTGCTGACGGGGCCATGATGGAGGCTGCCAGCGTGTGCGTGGGGCAGATGGTGAGTGCCCCCTGGGGTGGAGGGAGGGAAGGGCATGGAGTCGGGGGTCTAAAGAACCCACCCCCAACCTGCAGCATGCTTCTGGTTGGCATCTGTGTTTATGGAGGCTTCAGAGGGCAGAGGTCATGTGTGTCCTGCTTGATGCTCTAAGGCCTGGCTTGGAGCAGTGCAGGACCCTGTCCAGGCTTATCCTGCCCCCAGGAAGAGCCCTGGGTTGCTCCGTGATGTGGGAAGCAGAGCTGAAGGCCCTGGCCTCCCAGCCCCAGGCAGGCACACTCTGGGCAGCTCTTGGCATAGCACCAAGGCTGATCAGCGAACAGCCCAGGTGTCCTGGACTTATTTTCTTAATGGGTGACACAGAAGCGATCTGGGGCCTGGAGAGGCGACGGGGTCAGGCGGGAGCTGTCTCTTAGGCTGCTGCTGTCAGGCCAAATGCCTGAGGTGGAGGCTAGCATGTAATGAGACAGAAGCGGGGGCTCAGCCTTCAAGTGTCCACCATTTCAGACATTTTCAGTGTTGTTTTACTGCTGGGGAAACTGAGGCTCGGAGCGCATAAAGAATTTCGTGGGGCTTGTGAACTTCCCTCTCTTGTAGGGTGGGGAACAGCCTGCCAGTCCCAGGGGACTGTTTGGGTGGGCAGGTGACCATCTTGATGGGCGTGGGTCCTATGGAAGTCCTTGCTCCTTGCATCTGTGTGTGGAGAGTGGCTGTGTGTCTGGACACCTTTCTGGCTCATGTTCAACGTAGTCTGGAGGAGGGAGGGGTTTCCATGCTGGTCCTGCTGTCTTGCCCCACGCCTGACACTGAGGGACAGAGGCCGCCTGCCAGCAGCCCAGGAGTGTGGGGCTGCAGTCCTGGCCTGGCCCGAGTTTTATCTTCTGGCTTTATGAAAGCCACTCAGCAAATGAACCACTGCAGGAAGGGGCCACCTTGGTGGAGAGAGCAGGGATCCCCCGGCAGGGTATGGAGCCAAACTCTCATTTGATTTAATCGCATTCTCCTTCAAATTGCTCCCCGTCCCACTTGTTTCAATTGGCGACAGTTTTCTTAATTTGGTGTAGTAAAACTGTTGGCAGCTGGCACCAGCTGATCTGCATAAAATCCCAGCAACCTCAGAAGCTGAGGCCTCCCAGAGCTGAGGCCCTGCTGCTCGGTGTGCAGTGTGCATCCCACAGCCACAGGCCCCGCCATGGTGGAGATGGCCATGGAGCCAGGAAGGCAGCCAGAGGCCCGGCTGCTCAGCCCACGGCGTTCTGCCTCTACCCTGTGCGTGGTGACGTGTTTTCTGGTGTAAACATTGGCCAGATGAACGCAGAGCAAGCTGTGTGTGTAGCCAAGCCGGGGCCTGAGCAAGCCACAGCTGTCAATCCCACCAGGCCTCTGGGGACACTTCCCGTTGCTGACTGTGTTGCCCTCCTAAGACAAGTGACCCACTGTCTCTGCTTTAATGGACTTCGAAAGTCAGTTATTGACCGGGCAGTGGTTTCTTTCTCGAGCGCAGTGCTTTTTCTAGAGGCCACGCTCTGTGGTGTGTAGGGTTGGGGCTGCCCTGTGGGGGCCTCAGCCAAGGGTGTGTCACCTTCCACCCCAGGCCTTCAGCCATCCTTCCTTGTGATCGCCCACCCTCCTGCCTGGCAGTGGGGCCTTGTCTATAATTAGCTCCCCTTGATGGCTCGGGAGCCCCAGTGCCCGTGATGGGAAGAACAGGGAGGGAGGAATTCCTGGAGACAACTGGTCAAGTCCAGTGGGGAACTGGAGGTTTTGGTAAAATGGTTTAGGAACTAAACATCTGCTCAGCGAAAGCAGACCCCCGGCCCCTCCCCAGACCGATGGCAGCCTGGCCTCCCCCGCTGCAGCCTTGTCTGCAAAATGGGATTGAGGATGGAGCCCCCTCGGGGCTGCTGTGAGGTGGTATCATCAATGTTCGGTGTCAGTCACACCACTGGGAAGGCAATCTGAAGCCTAGTGTCAACTGTCCTTTTCTCAGATTTGTGTTTTGTGGGTTTCAGGGAGGCATCAAGGTCCCCAGACTCTCTGTGTTCTCCACCCACCAGTGCCAGGCCCAGCCCCCTTGACGCTTTTCCTTGGTGCCACCACTTATGTATTTTTTGTTATATTTTTTTGTTTTGGTGCTGGGGACAGAACCAGGGCCTGTTGTATGATAATTGCCACACTTGGTTCCTTGGTGGTTTTGCTTTTTGTCGGGACCTTTTCCGTAATGGCACAGGTAGGCTGGCCCCTTCTTGGTGGTCAACTGGTAATAGTGTGGACAACTGAGGCTTGTCTACTGGCCTAGTGTGCATGGCACTGTCGGCTGACAGTCACTGTCACCAGGGACTGTGGCATGTGTTGTGAAGACTGGGTTGTGTAAGAGCACAAGTAACACTGAAAGGTCCCATGTCATCCGGTGTCCCCAGAGTGGGAAGGAAGCAGATGGAGACTGGCACCTCCAAACACACCCATAGGTGAGAGATTTTAGGTCCAACCCAAGGCTGCCACTCCCCTCCCCCCATGCCCTGGTGGCCAGACATTATCATGGTGACTCCTGGGCATGAGGGGTGGCCTCAGCGGCTCCTTCCCCCAGTGGCCTGTTAGTGCAGATTAGCCAGAATGGTTTTATCAATCCGATGATGAGTTGGACCTAGGGTGGTAGGAGGTGTCTTGCGGCCTGGCTGTTGGGACCTGGAGGGGGAAGGGCTGTGTGGGGAAGGCAGGCCCTTTGTCTCTGTGCCCACCCTTTTCCAGACCCTCTTCGGGTGCTTAAGGGGTGGGCCCCAGGGAGCTTGTACCAGCCTCCCACCAGGACATTGGGGTTCAGATTGGCTGGCTTTGGCTGCAGACAAATGAGCCAGGGTGGCCCCTCTTCTGGCTACCTAAGCAATCCAACCATGTGCACTCTGGGATAGGAGGTAGACCTGCAGAGGTTGGGTGATCTGGCCACTCACACTCCGTCCTGTCCTGTGCTCTGTCCCCAGGAGCCAGATCAGGTGTATGAGGGGATCACCTTTGAGGACTTCCTAAAGGTGGGTGCTGGGGGGGGTGGGGGCGTAGAGGGGCCTGGGCAGGGGAGTTTTGGGGGCACTTGAGGACCTCTGGAGCCACTGGTCAGGAGGTGGCATAGCTCTTAGTTGCAGGGCAAGGGTGGGTGGTCCAGTGACAACCCGCTTTCAGTTATGCTCATTGAAAAGGGAACAGTCACCAGAGGTCAGAGCCATGTAAGCACACAAAGGAAGACCATGGAGTCACCTTCTCTTCTGCCAGGGACTAGGGAAGATTCTGGAAACTCTCCATGCCTGACTCCTAGCATCCTGCAGGAGCGCACACTGCGCTCCTGCCTCTCGCTTCCCCAGTTGGGTCCTGATAGCATTTCTTCATGGCCACCCACTCGTCCATCCTCCCTCCACAGGGCCTTCACCCCCTGCTGGTGACCATTTGCTACTAACCTGTTCCGGGGTGGGGAGTTAAGACCAGTTCCTCACGGCTTTGATAATCAACAGATCTGGAAGTAGGGACAAGAATCCACCTAAATATCCCCAAGGCAGCATCTCCAAGGCCCTTCGGGGAGCTGAGGAAGATAAGGAGGTCCAGGCAAAACAGGACTCACATGGGCTCCTGGTCCAGCTGGGCAGCGCCCAGGCTCCTGTGCTTGGAGGGGTTCCAGGACCTCCAGAGGTCCAGCCCATGGAACCAGGGCCAGGTGCTGTCCTCTAAGTCTGCACCTCTGGTCTGGAGTCACCTGGGACCCTTGGGACTTCAGGGTAGGCAGACCCACCATGAGGGGATGGGGATGGGGACTGCTGGGTTGGAGGCTGGCAGCCAGACACCCCACCCAGGGCTGAAAGAGGCCAGAATCTGCTCATGTGCAAGTCGTTCTGGCTTATGCTGGGACTTGCCACTCAGGGAAGTGACACCTAAGAAGAAAGAATGACAGGAGGGACTGTGGGAGGTGGCAGACTGTGAAAACAGTGCGGGCTAGCTTCTACCTTAGACCAGCTGCTTTCTCCCAAAGGCTCCTCAAGACTGGCTCTGCCCTGTGGGGTTCCTCGTGTCGCCCCCCATCCCTTTCAGTGCCTCTGGTTATGATGCTACCCAGCACTTTGCAGAAACCACTCTGGGGTCCCAGTGTCTTCCCCTGTTGTCCACCCAGTAAGAGTTGGAGTTGCTCTGTTTTCCCTCTGTCCTCCGTGACATCCTGGGCAGTGCCTAGTGGCAGGAATAGTGACAAGTGGCCCTAAGGCCTCCCTGTCCCTGGGAGCTGTGGAGCTCAGGCTTTCCATTTCTAGCCTCATGGCTGGCTATCCCTGGAGATGCTGGGAGTGACAGCTTGAGAGTGTGACATTCTTACATAATCAGGGAGACAGAAGTCACCACCCACCCAGGCCCTCTAGTCCTGTTCGCATTCCCGTTCTCCCTGTCTGTGGCCCCTGGGCCCGGAGTTGCCAAGGAGCTGGAAAGAGCATGGTGGCGAGAGCGATGGGCTTTGTCCTGCAGGCCAATAGACTTGTGGCCTAACTGTCCAGGCTTTGATTGACCAGACCGCCTTGGAGGTGCCAGGAGTGTGGTCGTGGACATGATTGCTAGGTAGAAGTGGCCTTTCCAGGGCACGAGTTTGTCTGGAGCACAGGTGATCTCTTAGCCCAGGAGGTTAAAAGGATCAAAGTGTTGCATTACTCTCATTAACAACGAGGCCCAGTGGATAATTACATCTGCATAGCTCCTAGCAGCTGGCAAGATGCTTGGTGGGTGACTGTGCCATCCAGTCCTCCAGTGTCTGACATGGGCAGCACAGTGGGATGTCCTGCCACTGTACTGATGAAAAGGGGGGCTTAGTGGGGCTCCACAATTTGCATGCAAATCGGAGCCTGTGGTGGTAGGTAGTGGGCGAGATTAAATGACTTAGATTCAGGACTTAATCGTAACTTGCTGTGACAATCTCAGGAAGAACTGAAATGTCACAGCCAAATTAACCAGCAAAAAGACAGATGGGAGTTCTTCCTTGCTTAGCTCATCGTCTCTAAATGTAACCCCTTGGTTTTCACCGGCCTGGAGTATCAGTGGGTGGAGGAAGAGGGCAGGTGGGAAAGCGGTGGGGATACCCCCTAATGCTGTCCCCTCCATTCCAGATCTGGCAGGGGATTGACATCGAGACCAAAATGCACGTCCGCTTCCTCAATATGGAAACCATCGCCCTTTGCCACTGACTGCCCACTGCCCCTTTGGAGCAGGTGCACCTTGCCAGGGGGCAAGCAGCCTCCGCATGGCCGGGGGGAGGGAGACCAAGGCCCCTGTAAATAATCAACACTCATCCGATCATCTTGAGTCCTGTAGGGTATGGTATGTGGGACTGTGCTGTTTTTATCTCTAATAATAATAAAAAAGGTTTGTTAATGAACGTGGCTTCTGCCTGCTCCCCAGCTCCATTAAAGGGGACTGGTCATCCGGTGACAAGAGAGAGAAGCGAGCAGTGGCAACTCATTTTAATAGGCTGTGTGGAGGAAGGGTGTGTCCTGGTTTATCTTGGATGTAGTCTGCTGTCTTCCCTGCCTAAGTACAGGGGGCCCACCTGCTTTCTCCATCCTAGGGGGCCACGCCAGGAAAAGCCACTCTGTTCCCAGGGCCTTGCAGAGGGGCCAGGACGTGGGCAGTGGGGTGTCTCACTGACCAGTGTTCAGACAGATGGGGTCCCGGCTGTCTGCACTGCAGGGATGTGTGCACTGTGGTGGTCTGAGGACCCTGGGGTTCACAGCTGGCTGGTGGGAGCTGGGTTTGCTGTGGTTCCTCTTGGTAGGGTGGCCCAACTGTAGGCCCAGGATTCTGAGGTCTCCAGCACCGGCAGCAGTGGTAGAGGCCAGAGAGGTACCCACTTCAGGTAAGCATCTGATTTAAAGACAGTTGGGGGAGGGGCACGGAAACAAAGGTCATTTGTCACGGTGGGTCAGCAGAAGGCCAGGTGTGTGGGGCTGGCAGAACAAAGCTCAGGCAAGTGCTCTGAGACCACTTGTGACCAGGAAGTCCCCAGCTGTGGCTGTGTGGCCGACAGCAGCAGATGGCTTGGTGGTGGCGTGGTTCCTTTGCCATATGTTTGGTTCTTTGTCGTTGCTCACTGCGAGGCACCTTCCGGAACCCTGGAGAATGCACTCCTGACACCTGGCCACTGACGCAGGAGACTCTCGCTCAGTTTTAATGTGGCATGTGCTCGCACTCATTTGCTCAGTCGTGGCCTTGGGGTATGCAAACGGGCCATGGCATCTTCATCCCATGTCTGTCCACTCCCCCTCCCAGGGCAGCTGCCAGCCCTGTTGGACCTTTGCTGTCATTTAAGGCAGGTGTGGTGTATACGATCCTAGCTCCCCTACTTCTCATACACTATAGAAGCTGAGGCATAAGTGGTTGCTTTGTACACGAGAGGAAATGAGCCAGGGACCCGTCTGCCTGTCTGTCACCTTCTCAGTGCGACCCTGTTTTAGAAGTACGGCACAATCACCGCTGTTTAGTGGGTGACAGTGACGCGTGCTCATAGCTTATAGTGCCAAACCCAGAATGGGACAAATGTTTGCCCTGGTGTGGCCTCAGTGGGGACCTTGGGTAGGGGATGGCTGCTGAGGGAGCCTTGTCTCCTGGGACTGTGGATGGGCCCCCCCCCCAGCCACCTGCCTGTGGGTAGCTGTCACTGCCTGGAGGTGGCAGTCCCCACAGTGCCATGCTGTGCTCAAGGGCCTTCCATGTTCCTGTTCCAGGTGGGTTCCAGGTGGTAGCTGGATACCCCTTTGACAGGTGCAGTCTTATTGAGGTGTGGGGGAGGCATGAATAACCAACCTTCCAGCAAGTCGGGGAGTTCCAGGCTGTTGCTGAGGATGTGAGGAGCAAGTCAGAGTTACCAGGCAGAGGAAAGCTATGTGTTGGATGGATCAACAGAGACTGGAGACTGTGCCCCGGGGCAAAGTTACTGGCACACCTCGACTTCAGTGGACTTTGGGAAGCCCTTGTTCCTGAGCTGGGAGGTTCATTCTGCGAGTGATCACTGAACACACAGGCAGCTTTTGCTACTAGCGGGAGCCCATCACGGGGCTCTGCTGCTCAGATTTGCCTTGATTCCACAAAGGCCTGGATGGGGGCAGAGCCTCTGTTTCCTTCCCACAGGGTGCCAGCAGTCTGGTGGGGGACAAAACCCTGCCAACATGGGAGAGGCCCCCTCACCTGCTCCTGCCACTCGGGGGGCCTCTTGGCTGCCAGGCTGCAGCTGAGGGGTTCTAGAGTGTTACTAGGCCTGGGTGTGGTGGTTGAGCAGGGTGGATTGGTGACATCATGGCGCTCTTATCCACGAAGTGTCTGGAATCACGTTTTCGGCCTCCATGCCCCTGAAAGTCAGCAGATTTGCAGTGTCTCAAGCACCACGTGCCTGTGCATCCAGGCTTGGGGATCCTGGGACTCCCCCAATTTGTTCTGATTTTGTTCTTTTCAACAAAGGCAGTTCATGAATGCGGTATGTTTTTATAAATAATAAATAACCTTCCCTTGGTCCCTGTGCCCTGAGTTTCAGTTGGGGAGGTGTGGTGGTATCGCACAGCCCGCTGCCTGCCTGATGTCTTTGAAGCTTTGGGCTTGGCTTATCTACAGAGCTAATTAGAATGAGAATGACTCTGTGAGCTGAGTCCATGCTGCTCAGAGCAGGCTCCTGTGTTCACAAGCACTGGGGGTGTCTGTAACTGGCAGGGTCAGGCTTTGGGGGCTGCAGAATTCCCCTGGAGTCCTCCTGCCAGCTCTGAGTGCTTTGCACCTTTTGTCAACTTGGAGCAGTCACTGTGGGCTAGGAGTTGGTGCAAACCTACTCCTAGATGGGGCAGGTTGATTCCCAGCACCCAGCGAGGCTGCTGGCCTTTGTGCATGGGCCTGAGGAGTGGTCCCTGTTACCTGCCCACTGTTGGGCGTGTGCAGAGGGAGTTCCAGCTGCATGGACTGGGAAGTAGTGTAGCCACTCCCCCATCCTAACATGGGGACATGAGCTCAATGAAGGTAGCCTCACATGTGGCAGCCAAAAGCAGGTGATGTGTTTGTGCTGAACTCTGCTCTAACACAGGTAAGTGATGAACAGGTACGCTGGGCTCGCTATCTTCCTTCCATCAGAAATCACAGCAGACCAAAGACACTGGGTGGAACTCTGTGGAAATATTTGAAGGGTGCTGATAAGTAGGTTCTGCGAAGTGCACAGGCTGTGGGTAGAGAACACGCATGTCCCTGGCCGGGTGGGCGGTCACTTTCTCTCACCATAGTCTTCAGTTGTTTGTCAGAATCGAGTTGAAAATGGAACCTTGTCTTCTACTGCCATGTCACCTATGGGAAAAGTGGGCACTGACAGAGTATGGAGGTTTGAGGCACATGTCACCTTGGTTTACAAAGGGCCGGGAACGGTTTGGCAGAAACCTGCAGCCATGTCATCTGTGAATTATGGGTAAGGGACAGAGCAAGACCAGAGCAGATTCCAAGTCTGGCCTCTTAGGGAACAAGGTGTTAAGACACTAACAAAACCTTTCTATTGTTTTCTGCTCCAAGAGGCTAATGGGAGAGCAGCTATCCATGGATCTAGTCCTTGTCACTAAGCAGTTCAGGGGTCTTCTGTTCATGCCTCCACCCCAGGCCTGTAGTTAGTGAGGCGGAGGCTGAATTCTGCTGTGTCTGAAACTGTGTTCTGTGACTCAAGCAGGCTGATGCAGAGTCAAAGATCCAGGTTGCCTTGGTGAGGGTCTGGTGACCATTGGCCTTGCATGTTGTCCTCGTGCGGTGATGTTGGAGGGGATGAGTGAGTGGGAGGAGCCAGGGTCATAACCACTGACTTCCCAGGGCCTCTGTGGGACCTGTGTGTTCAGCTCTGCCACGGTTTGAACAAGTGCCAGCAGTGTCCTCGTGCCTCACGAGGACTTGAGCCTCTGGTGAGGGCAACAGAGAGCATGGCCTGTACCGGGAAAGTGTGGGCACCCTGTGGGCCACTCTGATGGGCAGTGGTGAGGTGGAGGGGGCGCAGGAGGAAGCTTAGGCAGCATTTATCCTCACACGAAGCAGGGGAGGAACAGATACAACAGGATGGGCTCAGATGGGGAGAAAGAAGGGGGGGGCTTCCCTCCCTTCCTAGGCAAAGAAAAGACCCAGTGCAGTACAAATGGCCACTCCTGGAAGCTTACATTCAATAGCAGAGGCCGGGAGTAGGCCGGCGCCCACATGGCATCCGCTGGAGCCCGGCAGGCAGGGATCTGCTAGTGCACATTAGAGGCAGCCCTGTCCAAGTCGCTGCAGGCCCTGCTACAGTAGCCAGGTAACCATCTGGCCTGGCTGCATGGGGTGACAGGCACCACGGCCCAATCGGCCAGCACCATCAGCTCACTGCTGCCACAGCTGCTGCTGGAAGCAAGTGCCCCAGTCAGGGAGGAGGGGGCGGCCCTGTCTGACCCACTGTCGCTGGACTACCCTAACGGCAGCCACCAGATGGCTGTCACTAAAGGGCTTGCACCCTCACCAGAGGAGACCCTTTCTCTACAACTTTGAGCAAAACTGGGTTGGTGACCAGTGTATGCCATTCAGCAACCCCCCCCCCTCCAATGTGGGGCCTCAAGTTCTGGTGGGGGAGGGGCTGCTTCTTAGGGCTGCCTCCTTTTCTGAAAGGACCAAAGCCTTACTGCTGGGAACTCAGGTTGTCCTCTGACTGGGACACAAACAGCCAACCACGCTGCGACTGCTGTGTGGTGGGGCAGGTGATGTTGCACTTCCAACATCTTTCAAACATGGGCTGTGCAGGAGCATCACTTTTTCCCAGAAGATGTAGGTATGTCCCACTGTGGGGCTCTGGCTCCTGGGCTGGGAACCCCTGAGGTGGTCCTAAGAAGAACTGCTTCCCTCTGGGCTGCACAGCAGGGCCAGCCATGGTGGAGAGACTGCAAGAGTGGACAGCAAGCAGGCACAGTGCCCTATGGGAGTTACTGCAGAGAGGAAGAAACAGCCACAAGTAAGTTCAAAACATTTAATGTGAGAACAGATCAGGACACACAAGTAGGGAGGCGAGTCGTAGTGTTTTGGGATAAGCGTTCTGCCCTCTGGTCCCCCAGTGGCCTGTCTTTAGTGGCGGGCACAGGAGGAAGAACGTGAGTACAGAAGAGCTAGCGAGGACATGGAGTTGCAGAGCCACTCACACTCCAAACTGTGATGGAGTGAGGTGGGGCTGGAAAGGCTGAGAGCTGTCTGTGACCACTGGTTTCGAACGGGTTTCTCCTTCTGTCAGGGAACATCAGGTTTACAGCCGAAAATTGCCTTAGCTGGTGTGCTTTAAGATTTAAGTTTGGGTCCAGTAAATTCTCCTTCCAAAGCCCAGGCCATGAATGGGCGATGCTGGGGGAAAACTGGGGTGATTTCTATACTGGGCTAGCCCTTGGCAGTGAAAAATAAAAATGTGTAAAGTTAGCAAACCTTCTGGGTCTGGCTACCCTTAAGCTGGTGACTACTGCAAGATGAATGGCGCATCAGAATGGAGGGCCACTGCTCTTGAGAACAGCACAGGGCCTGAGGCAAACCTTGTCAGAGAGGTTAGCAGGGGTAGCCACACACGATAAGTGCAAACGAAACCCTTCATCGCTAACTGGGTGGCTCAGGAAGGAATTTGGATGACAGGGAACAGGACAGCCAACCTCCTGCAGGCACCAGAAAGGAGGCCGTGCTCTGGGTGGCAAGGGCAGCTCTTCAGCTGGAAATGGGCACTTAAAGGTATAGATCAAGAGAGCTAATCCTATCTCAAAACTTCTAGGCTTGGGCTAGAGGTGGGGCTCAGTGCACACAGGCCCTGGCTTCCAGCTCCATGCAAAACAGAAGCATCAGAGTGAGGGTGAGCCCTCCCAGTGACACTCGTGGGCAGCAGAAAAGCCTTGCTTCCCTCTGGGGTGTGTGTAGCAACCAGTCTCACTGGCCTGTCAGCTCCCTGCCTGTCCCTCCTACAGGCCCCTTGTGCCTCGCCTGTTTGGGTTGAGCCCTCTAGGTTTCAGGCTCCGTATTTCCTGCTGAAGCCACAGCTGCTCACAGTCCCTCTGTGGCCTTCACCTGTGGGCCTGGATATTCGGCACAGTGAGTTTGCGTTTTCCGTTTTGTCAGGTGCTCTCCTGCATGGTAGCGATCTGTGTGAGAGTTGGTGGCCTTCATCCAGGGGTGTGTTTGGTGCAGGCTTTACAGGAATTTGAAAAGTTACAAAATTCCACACACAACCCCTACTGGGTAAACTTGATCTCACTGGATCCCATATAGATCCTGTTTCTCTCTGGAGTTTTATTCTGAAGGTGGCTGCCATAGCTGTTTAGAGAAAGTGTCAGCCAAGAGTGAGGCAGCAGTGGGCCTCTTCACCCCTGGCCCATCCTCTTGTGCAACACTGTTTGATCTTAGGGGCCTGCGGTCCTGGTGCCTCCCTCTACACCTGCATCAACTTCCATCCCCTGGGGCGACTGGCTGCTTAATCAGTGAGTACTAGAAAATGTTTACTTTATATCACATATTGTAGACATAATAGTAAGTAAAATAGTCCTCAAAGAAGTAACTGTATAAATATATAATTAGAAAGCATGGCAAAAGCTCTGTTGTCCCAGATTTGTAGTGGTAGAGCCCTTGCCCAGCAAGCCTGAGGCCCTGGGTTTGATCCCCAGAACCATACACACAAAAAGGAAACCATCCTGAGTGAATACTTGATTTGTGATCCTAAGGCTGGGGGGTGCAGGAAGCCCAGAGACCAGCACACCACAAGGACTTGAAGGAGAAAGTCTGGTGACTGGAAGCTGAATCAAGGCCTTGAGTCCCTAGTGCACAGTGCCAGGGAGGGTGTGTGAGGAGGAGGTATAAGCACAGTAAGACGGAAGAAGCTGCATGGTGAACTCTAGGTTCTAGCTGCAGGATGAAGGGCAGCTCAGAAGTAAATTTATAAAACTGGTCCTTCCTGATTTTCTCCCTAAGTACTGTCACAGGGAAAAGCCAGTGCAAGGTCATAGTTGTACCCAGCCATGGTGTCACAAGATGAGCGGCAGATGGGAAGAGGGCTCTGAAAGGCCAGCTGGTCCACGGCAAACTCATAGGCATGGATCAGCCCCCGGTGTCTGAAAGGAACAGAGGTGACCACAGGTCAGGATAGCCCCCGTCAGAGGCATTTGCTACACGGAAGAATGGTTCCTAATAACAATGTCATCTGGACCCAAAGTGGACTTGCAGAGTGGGCGCTTGGGAGATGGGCCATCAGTCAATGAGAAAAGGCCCTGAGCCCACCTTCCTGGGGCTGGAAAGCTCAGCATGAGACCTGCCTTGCTCCCAGGCTGCTGCAGGTGGCCAAGGCATACATCAGACAGGCACCACAACCCTATCTGTGCTCTCAAAGTCTACAAAAGGAAGGGCTGGAGGGAGTAACATGGCGGGGCATCAAACTACTATTGTCATTCTAAACTGCCCAGCCCACAGCACTGACCTCCTGTGTGTGGCGAAGTTGTCCAGGTCTGCGTTCCGTACCACCCTCTCGTAGGGGACATTGGCCGTGATGAGGCTGTGGCTGTTGAATGAGATGTGCCGCACGGGGTGTCTGGAGCACGGGGTGGGGGAGAGGAGAGCGCGGAGGTTGAGTTCAAGAGCACGGCCTCCTCCAGCTGCTTACACTTGAAGCTGAGAGAGCCTCTGGAGCCTTCCAGGCCACTTCCTGCTCCAGAGGAGGAAGCAGGGCTGTGCTCTGGTACCACTCCTCACACCTGAACCTAATGGCAAACTCAACTTGAGCCAGAGCTGAAACCTGCCCCATTTCTGCCCCCTTGGCTAAAAGGCCGAGGGGTGAATTTAGTGGTGATCTGTCAGCCACATCACAACTGCCACATGTGCTCTGGGTTTTAAAAGCATTCAGGACACTGGAAAGTATAGCCTTGAGCCTTTAATTGATTCTCCTGCCTTATTAGTGAGCCCTCTGTAGCACCTGCTCTGGTCAGTGTACACCTTGTAGGTTGCTAATACGTGGAAAGTAAGACACAGCCAGTGCCCCACAGCACACAGAAGTCACAAGCTTTCCAAGGTGGGACTCAGTGAAGCCCCTGAAGGATGAATGGGAGACACAAGTCAGGCCCACACAGAATGGCACGGAAAATGACAAACCTCATCGCTAGAGTACAGGATGCTCCAAAGAGGGAGGCAGGGGAGGACCTGGTCTCAGGCCTGGCTGCTGGCACTACAGCCAGCCAGGAGGAAGGAGGGAAGGCTGTTCATGGAGGGATATAGTCACTGAATGCTGGACAGGAGGCCTCAACAGGTAGGGGTGAAACAGTGCTCTGGGGAAGGACAAGCATGCTGAGTGCTGCACAGGTGCAAGCACAGCTTTGCAGAAAAATGAGAGGTGCCGGGAAAAACCCAGGCTGGCACAAACCTATGGGTTAGTACTGGGCTTTCCCAAGTACATGGGCTGGGAATTTGAGTAGCCTTCTGGTGCCACCTGGTGGCTACACAGTGCACCACCACAGAAAATGGGATGGACAGACAGCTGCATGGAATGGATGGCACCTAGGCTTTGGTCTGATAAATTTTGGCCACAGCACTGAACCACCTTCAGGAAAGAAACCAGTTGTGCATGGCTGCCTTTGAGGATGCTGAAGTCACTGACCCGCCCTTAAAGTAGGAGAAGGCTGCACTGCTTCTTTGTTCATGGTCTCCTTACTATACTCACAGCCATAGCAGTGCCAAGGTAGAGTCAGGGACACCTCCACACTAGGCTCTCACTGGAGGCACGAGTCAGGTGGTCCAGGTAGGGACAGCCTCATCAGCTCCAGGTGAGTCTAGCTCCAAGCCAGGCTGTCTCAGAAATTAAGAAATAGGCTCACACAAAAAATTTTAACCAGTCAGGGGCCATTACCACAAACATACCTACATGTGTGAAGCCATCAGCCTGCGCTTAGGATATTCTCATTCAAGGTTGAAATGAGGAATCCGTCCTTGCCTGAGCTCTGTGATCCCACACATTGTGACTTTGGAGTAGAGGAGGTGGCACACCCGCACCTGGGTGAGAAGTCACACCATGGTCTAGCTGAGCTGGCTTCCTACATTTTTCAGTTACCTTATTTTGGTTATTAAAATGGAGAGTTCTAGAACCAGAACAGCACTTATGAGAAAGTGGTTCCACTCTTAGAGAAACCTACTTAGTAAGGGCTGGGCAGGAAGTATGGCGACATTAATCCACACCTTGACCTCCTGAGTACTGGAGCTGGCAGCAGCAGCCTGCTCACAGGTGAGGAGGCATTCAGGGAAGGCTGGGGAACAACTGAGTGGACTACCACTGGCCTTTCTGTACCTACTGTTCCCAAAAACACTGAGGAATGGCCTTACCTGGAGTGGACCTCCCACAGCTTCTGGTTCATCCGGTAATCCCACACGGACACCAGGCCTTCCTCGCCTCCGCTCACAATCTTCCAGTCATCCATCTGAACAGCAGACACGCCCAGCTGGTGAGCGGAGAGCGACAGGGCGATTTTATCAGTGCGAAGGTCATGGATCCTCACCCTGGAAGACCCAAGAAGAGCAGTGTGCGGGCCTAACTCTACTGTTCGCATGCTGTTCCTACCTAAAACAACTTCGGTTGCAAGCATCTACAGTACTGATAGAAAACTTTTCTCTTGTAAACAGTCTACTAGTTAGCAATACCCACAGCTGTTTAAGAACAATGATTTAAAAGCTCATGGAACAGTACTGACTCAGGACAAAGCCAACAGTGGCCCTGCTGCTCACCTGACCAGCTCATCAGGGAGGACATGGGCCTGCACTAGGCCCCATCATGTCGAACGCAGCTGACATGTGACTGGCCTGGGACTTCACACTGGTGTTGGCCTGAGCAGCCTGTCGCAGTGATTTTGCTAATCACTAATTATCTAATTAATCACTAATTAATCTAATGCTCTGCCCCTCCTGGTCAGCTAACTCTTGTCAGGTGTGAGATTTACCTGGACTTGGTGGGCCCACTGCCCTCCTGCTGACATTTGGAGGGGGTGCTTTCACGCCTGATTACATCCAGGAGACTCACAAGAAAAATTGTTTACACATGTATCTTGTGATCATTACTGGCCTAGTAATAATCTGAATCTAAAAACCTCTTTCAAAGCTGCTTTTTAATTTTTACATAAGGGTAAGCCAGAAACCTCTCATCTACCACAGACACCACCCTGCTTATTAGCTCCTGCAATTAGCTACAAGAGCTCAAACTGAGATGTGTCAAATGTAAGCAAATTGATTAATGACTATGAAGATGAATTTAAAACAGAACTTATGCCCCAAGTCAGAAAAGGACAAGTGCTGCCCTAAACTATGTTAAGCATGACTATACATGTGAGTCTGACACAGAGGGAGGTGGCATTTCCTAAAACTTTCTATGCCCTAGACTGGAGTTCTGTGAGCACGCACACACTACTTTCAGAGTTCTGAGGAGAAATTTTAAACCACAACTTCCATGCCTTGCTTCACCCATCAGGCTTTGAAAGAGAAAAGGACTCGAAGTGAAGCACCTGCAGATGAACAGCACTCTAGGGAAGGGACATGAGAGCTGGCACAAGAGCCTGTGACCGCATGTAAAGCATACGCTGATGCGTCAGCACGTACACACTTGAGGGGGCCCACCCACCAACAGGAGCAGCTCCCAGGACCGCACAGTGGAACCTGACAAAGGCCACGCACAAGAGCACTTGTGCAGATGCCAGGGAAGGCGGTTATGGGGTTAGTACCGGCAAAGGTGACTTCAGGGCAAAGCTCACGTTTGGTACAGCTTGCCTGGGGCAAAGCAAAGCCACACGATCGACTTTCGTTCTCATAGTCAGGGCAGTGGTTGGTTTGTGGTTCAGTTTCTTTAGCCAATATTATCTATTCAGGTTTTCTTTCTTTTTTTTTTAATATCCAAGTTTGAAGATGAATAAAGGATGTGCTATGACAAAAATTACTCAAACTGACCCCCATGAGACAGAAAACCCAAGTAAAGTGAGGAGGATCAGTGAGAGCATAATAAAACCACCACAAGGAGGAAACCATCGTGGGGACGCCTAGCACAGCTCACCCCAGTGCGGTAAGGACAGCCACACGGTCATTCCCCAGATCTGAAAGGTTTGCTCCAGTGGAACGTCCATTCCTAATGAAAAGTCTTCCAAAATGGACAATTTTTGCTTCCCGTTTAAATATTGTATAGGATTAGAAGACACATGAAACGTCAAAGAGGATTCAGAATCTAATGTGCCAAAATCAGTAGCTATATTAAAAAAAAAAACAGCCACTCATTAAGAATTTTAATAGAACATCTCCTTTTACACTGTCAGCTAAAGGCAAAATAATTTTCTCCACTTGGAGCTGTACTACACATATTACACAAAGGTAAATCACAGACGGCTCAAAGAGTTAAACATAATTAAGGTGCAAAAGTACTCATCTAGGGCCAGACATGGTTGTACAAACCTATAATCCCAGCCACTTGGGAAGCTGAGACAAGTCAGCCTGGGCTGGGATGCAGCTTAGTGGCAGAGGGCTTGCCTGGCATATGAGAGGCCCTGGGTTTCACGGCCAGCAGCAGATAAAAAAAAACAAAAAAAGACACAGAAAGCTTTTCTCAGCATCATAAACCCCAGAAACCAAAGCTTTTATAGCTGTCTATACAGTTATAAATTTAACTTTCTCCACTGTAGAAAAAGTCACAGCGAAGGCAAATGGTAACCTGGGAAAAACACCAGCAACAGAGGGCTGCTTTCTTGTAACAAATTCCCTCAAGTTAAGAGTAACAACTCAGAATTAAGTGAGGGAAAATGTGAGAAAAAAATCCAGAGAGAAAGAAATACTGATGGCTCTTAAACATGAGTACGGTACCCAAGTTTACAAGTAATCAGAGAAATTATTTTTAAAGCTACAATGCATTACCCCTTGTTGCCCTTCTGCCCAGCAAAGCCAGAGTTGAGCGACACGGCCTCCAAGACACTGTGACAGTGAGTCATGATGGTACCCATCCCACCTCAGCACTGATGTGCAGTGCTCGACACAATGACAAACATTCTTCACTTGACCTGCAGCAGCTCCACTTGGGGGAACTTGTCTAGGCTCTATTTGCAGAGGTGCACAGAGACACAGGCCTCAGCCACGGTACTGTTCTCAGTTGCAAGAGACAGGGCTTCTGTTTCAGGCAGTGGAGACCCTTCCGCTGCAAATCACTTCACAGTGCTGGGCACTGCTGAGCCCAAAGACAGCAGCTTCTCCAGGGCCACTTGAGCTGCCCCTCAGGAGGGAACATCTCAAAACTAGTGGGATTGGGTCTTCGCGGGGTGGGGCAAGGTCTAAGACTGGCACATGCCTAGCAGGGAGGATCAGGAGAACACAGAGGCTTCTTCAAAAAAAAAAAAAAAAAAAGCTATATAAAACTTCTATAAATGACCATAGAGTCCCTGAAAATTAAATGCATGAAGGAGGTTACACAAGCGTATTCTCCAGCGTAAAGTGACATCAAAGGTAGCAGACAGGCCAGAATATGTCCAAAAGGTGTTCCAAGAGGCAACAGGCAAATGGCTGATGGCACTGATATTATTAGTGCAAGTCATACATACTAGCCCAGTGAGAACTAATCAGAGAAAGTAAAGAACAACACAGGTCTGAGTATGATCTATAAAATGGAAGGAGACAAAGTGATCTCAAAAGCAACCTAAGGGACAAAGACATTACCTATTAAGGAATGATAATTAGACTGACAAGAAAAATTACACTGAACATTAAAGCTGTCATGAACTTGAATGACTGGATGGTGATAGCACAATTAACCAGCCCGTCATCGGAGTGCTGGTTAGAGCGATTACCTTACATCCATACAGTGGAGCCCGGTACAGTCCTTAGAGGAGGAGGCAGATCCCTATCTGCCAACAAAGGCAGCCCTCTGTGCACCTGGTCCTGCTTGTGAGCAGGCACGTGCCAGGGGTACGAAGGCGTCTATGCTGGGCAGGTGCACAGCCCAGAGAACTGTTGGGCTGAGGAGGATGACTACTGCTGGGGAAGAGGGGCACACAGAAGAGCCTTTCTCTACACCACTGTGTGCTTTCCAGTTCAGTGTTGAAAGTGTGTGCTTCCTGTTTAACTGAAAAGTTTTACTTAAAATTCTGTTAGGACACAGTTATTGCAACTGTTATTGTAACAACAGTTCCCTCGGAGAAGAGGCCTGGCAAGGGTAGAATGAAAACCAAGAAGGTGGTTGTCTTTTTATTTTAGACACTTTCACATTGTTTATGAAGCCAGAATTCATCTGTGACTGGGAGTGGCCCAAAGTCCCCGAGGGTGCTGGCTATGCACAAATGGCCTTTGCTATTCTTCAAACTGTGCACACACCTTCCAGACTGCCCCATTGTTTCACAGTGTTTAAAAGAATGCATTTGTCTCTTTCTTAGCTAATGGTAAATGAAGCAGGATTTACAGAGTTATCTTCAGATGCAGAGGAGAGATCCACTGACCCTTCCTGGCTAGACCATGGACTGACTAGGCGATGCTGGGCAGCGCCACTTAATCCCTCATCCAGAAAGATGCAGGGCACAAAGTGCCTAAACAAACACACCTCTTCCGTTAGTAGGTAGAGACAGACACTGTGCTTAGGCCTTTGCAGGTAAAAGATCTGAGGCTGTGGGACAAAGAGAAGAACACAATGGCGTCCAAGCCCTCTGTTTTGAGAGCATCCATGAGGATGCAGGGAAAGACACAGCTCGCCCCAGTACCTTTCAGAGCCTATGTGGTTAATAAAGGTGTATTTCGTGTGGTGATTCCCATAGAGGGCCCCTCTTGAATAGTCATACTCCATAATTTACAGTTTGGCTGTTAAAGAGACAAAGGCAAACACAGATTTGGTCCAGAAGTTCAAAGTTTGCCATCTGTTTTCCTATTGTATTTATAGAAAGCAGCATGGACGGCTCCCAACAAAACAAACAAATACACTGAGCAATACAGTGGTAGTACACTTGACAGCACTAAGGAAAACTAAAGTGGGCCAAAACACACTTGAACTTCCTACAAAGGAGGAGAGGCATCGCCCTTGCTCCTCATCCACACAGAAATGCAGACACCACAGTGCTAAGTCCACCCAAGCCATCAAATTCATATCGCGAAGCAGATACGGGCTTTGAACATCTGACAGCGCGTGGTACCGACTTGAAACACGGTGCCCCTGGGCAGAGCCTGCCACCTCCGCACTTGAATCCAGCAAGCAGCGCTGGGAAGCAGGTAGCACAGCAAACGGGCACAAACGCCTGCCAGGACGCCCGCTTCCAGGGACAAAAAGCAGCCAGTGGTAGATATCGTGACTGTCTAGCGAGCGGGTATTTCATCAACTTCGCCCACTGAAAAGAAAACTAATTGGTCAGAAAGCTGCAATTGTATTATGTTTAATATTCATGGCTGGGCTTGGAGGACACCCCACTCGGCAGCCCCTCTAATGAAAACCACACCACAGGAGGCGGCTACAGCCCGCCAATTAAAACAAAAGCCACCAGAACCTTCCAAAGACTCCAGCAGAGGAGCAGCCATCTGATGGGCAGGAGAACACGCTGGAACAGAGAGGGAGGCACGCTCTGGTTGGTCCTGTGTTAACAGCGTTGAATAACTTATTATAACACTTGCAGCCTGGAGCCAATCAAATGCAACATTTACACCCATGCTCTGAGAGCGGGCAGCAGACTGCAAGCGCACCACAACCTTCTATTTGTGAGGCAGGAAGGCAGCTCGAAGACTCTTTAATTGGGGGTCACAACTCAGGGCACACTTCCTATTGGTTTGGATTAAACAGCCCACATGATAATAAGCCAGACTGTGTTTGGTGGCAAAGCTGAGGCCTCATCAGACTCTGGCTCTGCAGTTTCATTACACAGGACCTGACCTCTGGCTACGTGTCTAGTTGGAAAAGGGTAGATAAAGGGAACAGAGAAAAGGCACTAAAATGCAGGTTTGTTTTTTTTTTAATGACCAAATTAATCAGGAAAACTCGTATTTTTTTCTTTTTAAAGGAAATCAATACCTGGTTCTGTTTGATCTCACTGAACCTGAGCTATTAAAGAGGACTTTAAATATCACCTTATATGTCAAGGGCAGTAGTTCTATCTACATAACACTGATGACAACCTGTGGTGGGGGTTCATTTTAAACAGCAACTGGAAAAATGTGTATTTTCAGGTAGACCTGCCCAGTTTCATCCAATGAAGGTGAGCTCAGACCATCTCTATTTTAAAGATACATCTCTGAGATTTAAAGTTCTCTGTATACAGATCATAGTCAATATGGTCAAAAGCAGCAGCCCTATG